TTCTGTTCAGTTGGTTAAAGTTAATGCTTGGTGAAACCTGGCTCCTTTTTTATTACAAGGCTTGGCAGATCACAAAAGAATATGTACCGTAATCTTTGTGTGTATCATTTTTATGTGATCTGTTGTAAAAAATCATAAGGCTGGGTTCCCACCTGGGCGGATTGAATATGCGCGTTTTCCACACGGTTTTTACCGCGATTCGTGGTTAAAAATACGTGTGGCAGACGTGCGTTTCCAAGGGATACTTGGCTGTATCCCAATGGAACCGCCCGACCAAAACGCCCCAAAGAAATACATGTACTACTTTGGGCGTAGGGCGGTTTCCCGCACGTTCGTACTCGCGGAAAACCGCACAGATGGGAACCCTACACATTGAAAATAACGGCATTTCCCTGCTTGAGCGGTTTTCCGCGAGTACGAAAGCGCGGAAAACCGCCTAGGTGGGAACCCAGCCTAAACATAAGGGGGGGAATTTATCAAAACGGGAGCAGACGAAATCTGGAGCAGCTGTGCCTGGCAACCAATCAGCTTCTCTCTTCAGTTTATTCCGTTAAGGTTTGAAAAGGAAAGAGAGATGCTGATTGGTTGGCCAACTGTTCCACTGCTGAGCGGGTAGATTTTTTTTTTATTTTTTTTTAAGTACAAGTTATCTCAAATCACTTGTATAAAATTAGCAGCAATCTTGTCTGCCCCCCCCCTTCCCTGTGGATTTTTGGGCTCCCCCACCTTTCTGGGGGACCCAGGACCATGGCAATCATTTGGAATATAGAGCCGGGAGTAGAGCGTCCGTTCTATCTGCTCTCTGTGTTCAGTAAGACGGAACGCTGTGTTGGGGGGGGGGGGGGAGCTGAAAAAGTAAAAATTGATAAAACAGTAAAAATAAAAGTTAAGTGATTTAAGTAAAAAAATTAAAACTAACCCCGGCACCACCGCCATCTGCAATAGAAATAGCAGTGTGCGTGTTAGAGAGCAATGTGCATTAACGGATAAGTTCACTTTCCAAAATTTGGGGAAAATGGAATTACCTGTTCAAATCTGGCCCCCTCTCCCCACAGTCACTCCCCCAGCCAGTACGGGTGTACTTTTTGTACCCCATACTGCTGTCCTGCACAGCCCTCCCTGATGGATTTTAAAATTTGCTCGGAAATTGTGAGTACTCGTTGGTCAGTGGAGTCAGGTGACCACGCTGACCAATGAGAAGCGCTTCTTTGCATGGTTAAATAGGGTTTTGGTTAAAGGAGTACTATGAGGTGAGTGAAAATCACTCAGCCTCATAGTTCTAGCCGACCTGTGGCAATGAAACTCGCACGTCGGCTCAGTAGATGGGGAAGTGAGCAAGCACATACCGGCGCTCGCTCACTTCTCGATCCTGTCCCTGCAGAGAGCTGTGACTGTCACTCACGGCTTGTAGATATTTGCCACCCAAAATATTCAATAAGAATCAGCAGACTGTTGGTTAAGTGTAATTTCTATGTAACCTACTAGAATGGTAATGCATGCATTTTACTTTAGGAGGATTTTGTTGATGCTACATGCACACAAGAAAAAAAAAAAGATGCGATTTGGGTTGTCGAGGGCACAAATTAGCTTGGCACGGTGGTCACATTTTCAGAGTTTTTTTTACTTTTCCTGAGGGGAGGGAGTGTGGACCTGAAGCTCTGCAGCAACAGATCACTTCTTATAGTACTGCTGACTGCAATTGGCTGACAATAGAGTACTATAGCAGTGATTTGTTGCTGATGGGAGATGCTGGACAGAGCTGCAACTACTCTGCCTGATCATCTATACTAAAAGTGAGTGCCGTGATGTCCCTGATGTCATCACTTCAGTAACTTTGTTTACAGTGATCTGCTACAAGCACTCTTATGAAGTGCTGTGTAGCAAGATCTAAAGCCCAGAAGTTGGTTGAGCTGACAATATCCAAGGCTGGCAAGTGGCTGCTCAGACCCAAGCATATGCACCCCCATACTAAAACCTGAAATGCTCTGACAGAGTGGAGGTGGAGCAGTAGAAAAAGTGTAATGCCATCGGGTAGGAACTTAATATTTTTTAAACCAATTTTAAACACATAATAGCTAAACTGTTATTAAATATTTTACAAAATCAGCGGGAAATTCTGGTTCCATGAGAGATCCACAAATAAAGACCATTTGAAAGAATCAGTCAATGAATGAACTACTTAAAATCAGTTTTATTACACAGATATTTTAAATTGTATCCAAGGTTTGGGAACTAATCTGTTGCCGGGATACCTGTATTGAGGTTAGTATGTAATCTGTTATCATTGATCTTCTCCTGATATTTCTAGTTGTCTGGCTGTTTTAGTAGTTTGCATCACTGATCTGGAACAAGCATGTAGCTAGTAAATTCAGGACTCTTCTGGGTCAATGACTTGTTGAGGGAAAGCGTGGCAGCCAGGGTTAGTCAAACTTGTGTAACTGGGTTCTCACAATTACACTGATTTTCATGATGGCACGTTTTCATTTTCTTAATTTAAAATGATCTGTGTATTTTCAGTCTCTAGGAAACAGGAGGATAAGAGTGGACGTAGCTGACCAAGCACAGGACAAAGGTAATTTGTTTGCTGTAATGCTCTTGCCTTTCAAACCCAATTCATGTTGGTCTTTCTGGGGTGGACAGATCCAAAGTTAAGCATCCTCTGCAGTTAGGTGGGCAGCTGGTACCTGACTTTTTAGTTTTCCATTTTTGATCTTAAAAGCAACTTTGTCATGAGTTTTGAATCTTCCAAAACAATTACACTGCAAAAGAAGACTGCAAATACCTTTCCTGCTGTGTGAACAGCTCTGTATTCCCAATGAATGATCTCACAAATCGAAGGGAGAACGGACACTTCTGTTAACCCTTTCGCTGCCAAGGACGTACGGAGCTACAAAAGTGCTTCCAGCTGGCCAGCTCAGTACGTCGTACGGACCTGGCATTTACAGTTCTACTATAAGCTGATGACCGCTAATTTTAAAAATACCGGGCCCGATCCTGCGCTTTCAGAAAATATATGGTTTGGGGGGTCTTTTACAAACGCTAGCAACGCAGCAGTTGAAAATCAAACCAATAGGAAAAAATTGCAGAAAATTCAAAAATGGCTTGGCCAGCTGATTTGAAAAATTTTCTGGAGGGCTTGGCAGCGAAAGGGTTAATGTAGATCTCCTGAGTCCCCCAAATGCTCTCACTGTTCTGAAGATCTGCATGTCACTACAGGAGATGGTAATGACATGAAGGTTAACAGGAGCAACCAGTGAGAGCTGCGTTGGACCCAGGAGATGAACAATTCTGGAAATGTCTTTTCTAGTGGTTTTGCAGGAATGGGCAGCAGGTATTTACCGTCTTGTGCAAGGAGTTTGTTTTTGAAAATGTAAAATTCACAAGTCGCTTTAGGGCTCTTTCAGATGGGCGTTCACGGCCGTAAAATGACCCAACAGTGTGCGTCCAAGTGCAGGCACCAGGACTTGCACCGATGTGCTGGTTCAGGTGTGTGTGTGTGTGTGTGTGTGTGTGTGACTGCATCTAATTGTGTGCAACTTCAACTTCTCATAGGGAAGAACAGGCTTTTGTATGCAAATGCATGTAGTACCTGTCCCTTCTGGGATCAGTTCATTTTACAGGCATGCATGCTGTACGGACGTAAGTGCCCGTCTGGATGAGCCGTTAAGCTGGCTGATTAGATCTTATTCTATATGCTTTCAGATTTAGACAAAATATACCAGCAACTGTGCAGTGTAAGGACAAAGCAATATATTCCATTTGTATAAGTTTATATGAACCTCCCACTATATGTATTTTTTTTTCATTTTTGTTGATCTGTCTGATCAGCTATGAAGTAGAATATTAAATTTAATCATAGACATCTGCCCAAATACAATTCATCATTCAGTTAGCATTATGGACTGAAGCAGCCCACCTTCCTTCCCTCTTCTTCCTGAGTATTGTTCGGTCTGTACACAGATTCTTGAAAGATCAGTTACCTGCCGTTAGAACTCCTCTATTACCCTATTGAGTAGCCCTGAAATTCCACATTGACTAATTATAAACATGTTCTGAGGTGGAGTTTTATTTCTTTTATTCTTGTAATTGCTTTCACCTACCATTTTTTAAATCAAGGGGAGTTGGGCTGCAAGATAAGTGGACCTTGCATTTATTTCAAGATCAGGTTTAGGGATAGCAGTAAAAGCTTATGTTGTACCACAGTATCTTAACAAGCAGTCTCTAGTGGCATTGACTGCTTGATGGCTTTTAGACGCTTAATTGATTGTCTACCTTTTTTGATTTTTATATTTTTTTTTTGTAGTGTTAAGCAGTCCTTTACAAGGGATTCACTTTATTCACATAGGCAGTAACATCCCACTAACTTTGATTCGCTACAACTTCTGTGTGTTTAGATCGAGATGATCGCTCATTTGGCCGAGATCGCGACCGCAATAGAGACTCTGACAAAACGGATTCTTCTGACTGGAGGGCACGTCCCACCACAGATGCGGATGACCCTCCTCCACGCCGCGAAGAGGGCTTCGGAGACCGTAAGTGGTTGTGCCCACTAGAAATCATTAGCTCTAGGTAAACTTTGAAAAGGTAGAATCCTCATTGTCCAGCAGAGATTCTTTATTTAGAAAGCTGCACCGGGAGGGCTACAATTTGTACATTTGCTGGATTTGTATCTGCAGGACAAAAGAATATGGGGATAGTTATACACTTAGTAGGTGGCATAAAGTCCACATATGTAAAGCAGTATATTCATTCTAAAAGTATATATAGCGCAAACATCATGCTGATCTAGTGAAGCAGTATAGACATTAAAAGCCTTTATACGGATGCTAGTGGCAGCTTCCGAGCACAATATGTGTTTTCTTTAGACTTGAAATGCTAATGTCAGTCTTCTTTCAGGTTATCGAAATGACCGCAATGACCGCTATGAGTCAGACCGTTATCGTGATGGCCCACGCAGGGATGACCGATATGATCGTGACAGAGGAAGGGATCGCTATGATGACCGTGATTGTAGGGATTATTATAGAGCCAAATGTCAAACTTGCCAAACAGTATTTGACGTGGATTTCAGATTTAAACGCTTGTTTTTCTGGCTTTAATTGCATTGCATGTTGCACATTCTTTTCTCTAATTGGGTTGTGATTGAACTACATGGACTTGGTTCAGTGCTTTTGTTCTGTTCTCTGCGTTTGTAAACTATTTAATCTAGCATGCTCAATGGTTTCATGTAAAAAGCCAGAAAGGGGCTTTCCCCTGCGCTGTATGGAATTAGTGCACTCTTAGTACACCTAGCTTTTTTTAGACCGAACAGCATTTTTGTTACACACAAGGTACTAACATGAAATGCAGTTCCTAAATGATCTTCACTTTACAGCCTGTTCAGTGCTTGACAGCTTTTCTGCCTTTTACTTAAATACACACATAAATGTGTACACCACTGCACACACACGAGGGCATTTATCAAAAGTGGAGCAGTCAGAATCTGGATCAGCTGTGCACAGTAACCAATCAGGTTCTCTTTCATTTTAAAATCTTAACTGAAGATCGAAGCTTATTGGTTTGCTTAGCCAACTGCTTCACATTTTGTCTGCCCCAGTTTCGATAAATTCCCTCCCACTGTATACTCCTGTGACCAGGCTAACGGCAACCGTGGTTACAGTATGGGCTTGTGTACACAAGTATTGTCAAACTCTGCCTTTTTACATGTAAACACTGCCCTACTCAAGCATTCAAACACAAATCAATGCGTTTAACCAGCTTTGTCTGCAATGCAAGAATATCTCGAAAACTTGCTTTGTCGAAAAACACAAAGCAAGTCAATCACATTGGCGCTAAACTCCGGCCCGCGAGCTGGTACTATGTGGCCCGCAGCCAGCTGACAAGTCGGGCACACGGTCCGACTTGCGTGAGCAGCCACACGGTCTGCATCTGTTGGATGCAGACCGCAGAGCTGCTCCGGCCGGAGCTCTGTCAGTTCTGAGCTCCTGCCAAATGATGGATCATTAGTAAGGTCCGCACTAGACCTTACTAATCACCACTAGATAACCAGTGAACGATGATGTGCCTCCTCCCTGCAAAGATGCAACCAGGTGAGGGAGAGGGGAAAGTTTATTATGTGTGCTGGGGGCTTGGAAGGGAAGTTTATTATGTTTGCTGGGGGCTTGGGCAGGTGGGAGTTTAATATGTGTGGAAGGGAGAGGC